TATATCATGTCCTTATTTAACACTGTATATGTACCTTTGATGATTTATATTATATTTATTCAGCAGTGTTAACGGCTAAATTTCTTCTATACCATATACAATATACGACAGTATTTATTTCTAGCCGTTTCTCCAGATAATTTATCTGGCCGAACGCCCTCTTGAGGCGCACCATTGTGTAATACAATGTTCCCGGCGGTTATTTGGACCTGTTCAACCATGAAGCTCGACTTGTCAGCGAGAGGTCGCAGGTTCGAATTCCGTCGGAGGAATTTTATTACACATGACTTTTATAGGACTTTATTCGTTGAAATGCTACAGGGTAGCCTACGATGTTCCATCATGACCTAGTTGCATCAATTTCTGCCTATTTCAAAACTTTTTAAATTTGAATGATTGACCAAGCTATAGGCTAAATGTTGATACCAACATCATACATATCCATTGAGTAAATCAAGAGTTATGAGCATTTAATGTTATCCCCTACCCCCAAAAACTGTTGTTGATTACAAATTTTAAGATTACAACACAATGACAGTAGTACATTTAATCAATTTATATATTTTTCTTGATAATATCATTGTTTTATATTCCATATGCTTATTTATAATAGAAAATACTAATTGGTATCAAATCTACTCACAACTGTAGATTTGTAAACGTTTGTGAGTGAATTGGGAATAAATTTCTGTGGAGGTCAATGATCTTTTGACATCTAGCTACGTCAATTTCTGCCTGTTTCAAAATTTTTTCAATTTGAATGACTGACCAATCTATAGGCTAAGTGTTGATACCAACATCATACAAATCCATTGACTAAATCAAGAGTTCTGAGCATAAATGTTACCCGCTACCTCAAAAACTGTTGTTGATTACAAATTCTCGGATCATAAACATTGTAGACTAGAAAAAAAATCAAAAAAGAGGCCTAGAAATCAAGTTAGGGGAAGTGGAATGTTAGAAGCAGTCAACATAGCCAGATATCTTAATTAACCCATCCTGGTCACCCTAAGCCCTGTTGACACTTGATTTTTCACTTTGTATGCAAATAGCGGCCATTTTTCAAAATGGCCGCCAAATTTATCTAAAATGTGCATATAATTGGAACTAAATAAGCTACAGATATGATGTTGGTGTCTAAACGAATTAATTTCTATACAGGCAACAAACCAGACATATAAAAACTACTGTCACTCATGCCAGAATGGAACATAATTCAAAAATAGGTGTTTATTTGTTTTAAAATAACAGCAAAATATACTTAAAATGTGCATAAAATAAGAATAAGTATATAAACTCACCAAAAGTAGTCGTGTTTGGTATCGTTGGAAAGCTCTTCCGATGCTGAATAATGTATTACTTTATACATATATCAGAAACGGTGTAGTGTTTCATATATTGTCCCATAAAGTACAATTATGGCATATCATATTCAAATATGTTTAACTCGTGAGCTCTCGGGGTGGGGGAGGGGGTGCGCTCCTACTACTACCTAGCACATTACTACCAAGCCTTAAGTAACGCATGTGCTTTCTGGGCGAAGTCCGAGTCCAAATGGGCCCTGGAGAAGCCACTATTTATACTTACAGTAACACTGATACACAGCACTCTCCTACAACGGCTTAACAATACGTAACTTTTTCTATAATTTCCGAAAAAAAAACCAAAATAGACCAAAATCCCACAAACACAATATTCGGCAGATTTGGCAGATTTATTAGAAGGGGTTCTTTCAACTATGCCCCAGGATTCCCCACTATGGAGGTTTGACCAGTTATGTAATGCCTGTGTGCTTTCTGGGGAAACGCTTACTTCCTCCATGTGATGGGCCCCTACTTACTACCACCGAACAATCTAATAATACAACGCTTTTGCCAAAATTTTTTCTTTTAATTTTTTCAAAAATGTATGAGCCCCGGACGGCTGCATAACTACCC